TTTTTGTAATTCTTTATATCCCAGGACCCAGATCTTCTACCTGCTCTACCAATGTAATTTTTTAAAATTTATTTTTATTTTTTATTGTAAATCATGGCTGCTATTTATTTTTATTTTTATTGCAGTAACATTGGTTTAGAACATTATATAAATTTCAGGTGTACCTCATTATATTTCGATTTCTGCATATATTACATCATGTTCACCACCCAAGGACTAATTACAATCCATCACCACACACATGTGCCTAATCACCCCTTTTGCCCTCTTTCCTCCCCCTTGCCCTCTTGTAACCACCAATCCAATCTCTGTGTGTGTTTGTTGTTTTTATCTTCTACTTATGAGTGAGATCATATGGTATTTGACCTTCTCCCTCTGACTTATTTCACTTTGCATAAGACCCTCAATGTCCATCCATGTTGTCACAAATGGCTGGATTTCATCGTTTCTTATGGCTGAGTAGAATTCCATTGTGTATATATACCACATCTTCTTTATCCATTCATCCCTTGATGGGCATTTAGGTTGCTTCCAAGTCTTGGCTAGTGTGACTAATGCTGCAATGCACACAGGGGTGCATGTATCTTTACACATGCGTTCTACCAATGTAATTTTAAGCTGGCTAAATAAGCAATATTTAGTATAAAGGCATTTATAAATCATATAACTTAATCATTTCATACAATTGGTGTGTGTACAAGCAATTTTATTAGTATTTCTGATAATGTAACAGAAAAGATCTATACTTTATTCAAAAGAATAAACTGTTAATAGAATTCAAGAGTTTAAAGAATACTAAGGTCTAGTTAAATTCGCTTGTTTAAAAAAAATCCATTATTTTTAAAAATGAGAAAACAAGCGGGGAAAGGTAATTGACTGACCTATGATCACAGCAAGTGAGTGGTGCAGCTGGAATTAGAATACAGACCTAAATTTAATTTTGCCTTACTCTTCTTAGATAAAACGCATGTTTGTTTTTCCTTGAGGATTCTAATTTACTTTTCAGGTAAGCATTCTCTTTGTCTCTCATTGTAGAGGAGGTTCGTGAATAAAAGCAAAGGGAGGCAGTAGCACGCATCAGAATCACCTATAGGGCTTGTTAAAACAGATTGTGTCCCCGTCCTCCCTGCCCCCCTCAAAGAGTCTCTGATTTAGAAAGTCTGGAGTAAGCTTTGAGAGTCTGCATTTCTAACAAATTCCCAGGTGATGCTGATGCTGCTGTCTCGGGGACGACAGCTCGAGAACCACGGCTTTAAAGCAGACATAGGCTTTTGGAGTCAGTAACTCCAGGTCTAGACTCTGGCTCTATGACTTACTCCTGTGTGACCCTGATCAAGTTTTTTAGCTGATATGTCTCAGTGTCCTGTACTTTAAAATGGGGATAATAATATTTATGTCACAGAGTGGTTGTAAGAATTAAATTAGTTAATATAAAAAAAAGTTTAGCATACTGCCTGGTACATAGTAAACACTAATAGATAGTTTCTGTTGTTATTTATAATAAGCCTGGGGCCCAATTAAGTGTTTATGAACTATAAATTCAGTCCATGTTTTAGAGTAGATGCCCAGAGACTTTGTCACTTTGTCACTTCGAGATGCCGTCAGGACACACACACACACACACACACACATTCCTCTTTTGACTTGCTTTCTTATTTATGGTAGCCTTGGCAGAAGAGTGAGAGAGCAAAAGTGACAAATTGGTAAAGGGATTCCACTTCCAAGATTGGATTTAACTATAGTTTACTTTTATTAATCTCAGGCTTCTATTGTGTATTGAAGTAAAGGTGGATGTTATTAAAAAAAACAGCATATTTCAAAATATATGACATAGCGGCCAATTGCTGAGACAGAACTGCTTATTAATTGCCCTGTGTATGTGTGTTGTATGGTGGGAGGAGAAGGGCTTAGGGGACATTGGAGGTAATGCAGGGTGGAGGGGAGGAGTCTGTGTGAAAGATTCTTTTAAACTCTGGGTTGCCCATATCAAGGGATAGTCGCAGTTCCTGATGAGGTCTGCAAAATGAAGTTACAGAGGTATATCACCGAGCTGACTTTCTGTGTCCACATTATAGAAAGACTATTCAAATCATGTTAGCAATTAATCATTTTCTAACTATATGTGTACCATGTTAGGAGCCATGGAGACTCAATTAAGCTCCAGGAGTGTGTGTAGAAGATATCAAAATTGACTGGAGCAAAATTGACTGGTGATTTAAGTCATAACCTGGGCTTTTCAGCCATAAATATACTTAAAACTATTATCCTTTTTAATGGTCATTTGGTCAGCTTGTTTATAGTGGCACATGGGACTTGCAAAGAGAAACAAGAATTTCAATTCAGAGCTTTTTAAAAAACAATTAACTCAATGATACTTTTTAATTAATTAAAAAGAAATAGGTAAAAGGTATAGCTAATAAATACGTGAAAAGATGCTCCACATTGTTAGCTAATGAAATGCAAAATCACAATGAGATACCACTTCACACCCAGTAATAATAAAAAGATAGACAATAAAATGTGTTGGTGAGGTTGTGGAGAAATTGAATCCTGCATACATTGCTGGTGGGAATGTAAAATGGTGCAGCCGCTATGGAAAACAGTTTGGCAGTTCCTGGAAAAGTTAAACATGGAGTTACCAAATTGACCCAGCCACTCTTTTCTACGTATATAACAAAAAGAATTGAAAATACGTTAACACAACTTGAACACCAATGTTCATAGTTGCGTTACTCATACTAGCCAAAAAAGTAGAAACAACCCAAATGTCCATCAACTGATGAATTGATAAACAAAATGTGGTATATCCATACAATGGAATATCTATTCAGCTATAAAAAAGAATGAAGGATGGATTCATGTTCAAAATGGTTGAACCTTGGAAACATAATGCTAAATGAAAAAAGCCAGATATAAAAGGCCACGTATTATAGGATTCCGTTTATATGAAACGTCCAGAATAGGCACATCTATATAGACTGAAAGTCGATGAATGGTTGCCAGGGCCTGCAAGAATGGGGGAATGGGGATTGACTGCTAATGGGTATGGGGTTTCTTTTTGGAATGATGAAAATGTTCTAAAATTAGTTTTGATAATTGCACAACCTTGTAAATATACTCAAAACTACTGAATTGTGCAATTTAAAAGTATAAGTTTTATGGCATGTGAATTATATCTCAAAAACCCGAAAACAAAACATACACCTGTGGTGGGCATGAAGCATGAATGAGAAATAAACCTTTGTTGTCATAAAAAATAATTATGGGAAGAGGAATAGTTCATGGTGGGAAGGCATTCTGTGGAGAAACAAACCATCCTTCTATTAGAGATGCGTAATGCATAGTAGCTTATCACAAGTTCTAAAAGTCTTTTGAAAATGAAAACCTATTTAGCTTCATCAAGCCAATATCTCCCAAACATTTCATCATGAAAAACATCTACTCACAACAGTTGTGTTGAGGAACCTAGGGTCCTAGAGAAAAGTGAATCTTAGGCTTGAACATATGTACATAGGAATCACTTGGAAAGTTTGTTAAAACAGATTCCTGGGCCCCACTCCAGAGATTTTGATTCAAGAGGTCTTGGGTACAGCCTGAGAGTTTGCATATCAGACAAGCTACGAGGTGGTTCGATCCTTCAGGTTTGAGAACTAAACTTTGAGTAGCATCATTATAGAATAGGCGAATCCTATACCTTAAATGGATGAATTTTATGGCATGTGAATTATATCTCAATAAAGATGCTAGAAAATTTGATATACTAGAAATGGTACTAAAATGTGAGTTCTAGTGATTTGGTTAATGCAAGACAATGCTCTATGAGTGAATTGTTTTAATTAAAAATTTCTTCATCTGTAAAATGAGTCACTACCCTATGTACTACCCAGGGTTGTGGTGAAAATGAGGCAATGTACTCTTATCCAAATTGTGTTCTGTGGAGAAAAACATGTTACTTAAAAAAAAAAATTTCATAGCCGGCTAAGTTTAGGAGACTGAGCTAAATAATGCATATTCTAGATTGATGGTCTGACCATTATTCTTGACTTGGACCCTAACATAATGTTATGATTGAATGAAGAAAATTTGAATAATATTGTGGGACCCGCAATAGTTGCTCCTTTTGGGTTTCAACCCTGTTACATCCTGCTTGATGTTTTTTTTTTATTATAATTTTATTTATTTATTTCCCCAAAGCCCCAGTAGATAGTCCTGTGTCATAGGTGCACATCCTTCTAGTTGCTGTATGTGGGATGCTGCCTCAGCATGGCTGGAGAAGCGGTGCGTCGGTGCGCGCCCGGGATCTGAACCCGGGCCCCCAGCAGCAGAGTGCACGCACTTAACCGCTAAGCCACGGGGTCGGCCCAATCCTGCTTGATGTTTTATTGACCTATTTATTTGAAAAATTATTGACCAAAAAGAATTTTAGCAAATGACTATTGGCTATGATAAAATTGTGTTTAATAAGGTAAAGAGAATATTGGTAGCTAGTTGTTTGTCTCTTTTAATCAACTGATGTTCATAGAGCAACTTATTTTCAAAATTAGGTTGAAACTAAATTAAATTATCATATCCAGAAATAATTTTAGCTCTTTAGTATTTTAATTGGGAAAAATATATATAGTTTTTATTTACTTCTTCATTTCTTAAACTTGGGTTATTTATTTGTTAAAGTTTTGAGTCCCTCATTACCATCTTTATATGAAGCTTTTATAATTAACCAAATGCTTTCTTGTACTATATAAGCAGTTTAAACTTTAAAATTTTGTTTCCTTGTCTTCTTAATTTTAGCTGAAAAGCATTCTCCCCCGATTTTCTTTAGTGATCTATTTTAAGCATTACTTTTAATAAGTTATAATCTATTTTTAACCTTTTTCCTAGAATTCTTTTGGTATTAAACTTCCTGAAATTGAATATATTATTAATGTTGCATTGGAAATGCATGTATGTATAGTTTGAAAACATCTTTTCAGGATCTTACTATAATTATACCTTTATTTCAGATGAGGTGGAGGACCATCCTACTACAATATTGTTTTCTCTTGGTTACATGTCTACTTACTGCTCTTGAAGCCGTGCCTATAGATATAGACAAGACAAAAGTAAAAAATACTCAACCTGTGGACAGCGCAAAGATAGAACCACCGGTAAGTGAAATGATAAAGATAACCTTGTGGGAAGAATTTTAACTAAAATATTGCTAATATTTCTTACTTACAAAATTGGACATTTAGGAACTATTTCTAAAATAGCAGTGAAAAGTGTATTGGATGAGCATATGTTGTTTAATATTAGGCAATGTTTATTTAATGTAGTTAGTATATTAGATAGTGCAAAGAAGAATTAATCATAATACAATTCTAGTGTAGAGCTGACCAGCCAAGAAAACACTTTATTGTATTCAAAGGAGAGACAGATAGCAATGAGGAGACACAGGTGACAATGGAGTAAAACCAATTAATATTATTCGTTAAGTCTTCATTGTCTAAGCCATATAAAAAATCTGCCTTTATGCATCAGTAAAACATGGTATTGGTTCTGATACAAAACTCTTTATTTAAGAAATACAGCTTTTTAACTTTGCCTAAACTATCAAAGTAGATATGTCTCAATGCGATTTTGCTAGACTTTTTTTTTAGATTGAAATCTTTAGGTGCAGGGAAGGAAAAACTTTCAGAAGCATTATTGTTTGTTTCTTGATTTGAAGGATACTGGACTTTATTATGATGAATATCTCAAGCAAGTGATTGATGTGCTGGAAACAGATAATCACTTCAGAGAAAAGCTCCAGAAAGCAGACATAGAAGAAATAAAGGTAAATGTAATTAAATAATTATTTAACAAACATTTGGGCATGCCAGACACTGAACTGAGTACTGGGGATACAAAGATGAGACACATTCCCAGCCCTTAAAGAACGCTCAAGGGAGAATAATATCCAGAAAAAGATTATTAGGATGACTATATGATGAGTGTGTAATGTATTTTGGAGATACCGAGAATGAACACATAACTCACTATGAAGCAGTGGGGAAAGGTGGAAAGTCATTCTTCCTGTTAGAGATTATGCCAGTGCTCAAAGATGTGACTAGGAAAAGGAGAGAGACTGGGAGGCATCCCAGGAAAAGCTGCAAGTGTATAGAGACAGGAGCTATATAGCACACTGGAGATAGTAACTGTGCTAAACTGGAACCTAAAGTGGGAAGTGAAGACAATGATTGGCTAAATGACGAGGTTGGAAAGAATCATGGGCTGGATGACAGACGCCCTTGTACATCATGTTAAGGGGCTTGGATCATGATGTGATGACAGCAGGAAGCTATTCAAAGGTCTAGAATATGTTAAGTTCTGGTGTTTTAATCAGGTCCAGATTTATAGAAGAGGTAATGACCATATCTTACTCCAATAGGGGAGGTTTAATTATTTGCCTCTGTCTTAAGAACTTTATTAGATGTAATCCTAGCCCGGGACATTTATTTTTTTCAATTGATGTTTTAATAGTTTTTAACATTGTGAAATTTTGGGTTGTACATTTTTGTTTGTCCATCACCATATATATGTCTCCCTTCACCCCTTGTGCCCACCCCCCACCCCCTCTGCCCCTGGTAACCACAATACAGTTTTCTCTGCTGGGACATCTCTTTAATACTTCTAATAAAGAAAGGGAGTTGTAAGATCTGACACGAGAGATTCCTTTAAAGCCCATCCTTGAAGGGCAATGAATCCATTTAGTTGGGTTTATCTTAAGAGTCACATAGTAAAGAAAATTTCCAATGATTTAATTTTAAACTTTCAGTTATAGCTCTCCAGATAGTTTTGTTTATTTACTTATGTTATTTTTATTTATTTGTTTTTAACTTTCCTAAAAAATGATCTTGCCTGTTTCTAGAATCAGAATTAGAGAACTTTGTCTGAGGGAACCTTACTGGGTCAAATATCCTTCTTATTTTAGTCTCTGTCCCTGGTGTGGGCATCTTTGAGAGACTTACCGGCATCAGGTTGGGCAAGTCTCAGAGCCTGTGTGTGGCTTTTAGTTCACATCTCCTCCTGGAGGCTATGAACTGTTCTGGGGGAAAAGGCAGCAGAATTAAGCCAGTAATTCCCCTGAATTGTCTTGAGAATAATTTTGTGCATTCTTTGAAGAATTAATTTGACCTGTGGAACTAATTTCCTGGGGTGAATGATATTTAATGTAGAACTTTCAATGTCTCTTATCTACTTAAATTAGGACTAAGAGCGTTATTTGGGGGTAACAGAAAATGTGGATAATGGGAAGTCCTATCTAGAAATAATCAGGGTAAAGGAGACAGCAAGCTTCCTGGGTTGGTGTAGGGAATACTTTTATAACTGTCTTCCTCTCACAGTCAATTCCTGATCCCTCTCCCTATTGAGGGTTGTGGGGGAGGCAAAATGAAGTAAGTTAAACAGTTATTCAATGAAAAAGAAATGAGTAAAAATAGACAATAAAACCCAAGCTAACAGAATCATTACAAATAGCTCAGCAAAGACTCTGGTCTCAGGAAAAACTGGGAAAAAGAAAAAGTTAGAATTTGTCCTTTCCTCTTCAGCCAAGCATTTTGAAAGGGGAATCGTACTACATTTCTTCGCTTCCCAAGCATTGCGAACTGGAAAGATGATGGCTTTGCCTGCACCACTTCACTGCATGTGCTTTCGTAGAGGGTGTCAGTGACTTCTTAATCGCCAAATCCCGTGAACACTTTTTATTCCTCTTCTTACTGGACTCCTTGATTTTATCCCAGTGGTTCTCAGATTTTAGGGCTTGTTGAAACACAGATTTCTGGACCCTACCTCTGGAGTTTCTGATTCATTAAGTCTAGGGCCTGCATTTCTAAGGTTCCCAGGTGACGCTGATGCTTCCACTTGGGGACCACACTTTGAGAACCATTGTTTTATCTGATAATAATGACCGTTGTCTCCTTGAAATATGCTGCTCTTTTTGCTTCTGTAACAGCACATTCTTCTAGTTCTTCTCCCGTCCTGAACATTCTTTCTTGGTCTCCTTGCGGGGTTTCTTTTCCTTACCTTCCTCGGCAGGCCCCATTGACTCAGTCCTGAAAGGTTCGTCTGCCTGTTTGCTAGTGAGACTTGCAGCTTGTGATTACAAACACATTTGTAAATTCAAGAAAGTAAACCACTAGCTATTTTGTTTCTTAAATTTTGGAACATGTATCTCATTACTCGTTTATGAAAAAAGTAATCAAAGGAGACAACCTAAAAAAGATGAATTTTGAAAAGTCCATATTTACATATGGAATGACTAAAGCTTAAGGAGGCCAAGTTACTTTAAAAAATTATTGAAATATAATTCATACATATAAAATTTGCCCCTTTAAAGCATACAATTCAGTGGTTTTTAGTATATCCACAGAGTCATGTGACCATCACCACTATCTAATTTTAGAACAATTTCATTAACCCCAAAAGAAGCCCTGTACTCATTAAGCAATCACTCTCCATTTCCCCCCTCTCCTCAGCTCCTGGCAACCACTAATCTAATTCCTATCTCTATGGATTGGCCTACTCTGGACATTTCATATAAATGCAGTCCTACAATATATGGCCTTTGTGCCTGGCTTCTTTGACTTAGCATAATGTTATCAAGGTTTATCGTGTTGTAGCATGTATCAGTATATTCATTCCTTTTTATGGCTGAATAATATTCCACTCTATGGTTATTTCATGTTTTGTTTATCACTTCATCAGTTGATGGGCATTTGGGTTGTTTCTTCTACTTTTTTGGCTAGTATGAGTAATGCTGCTATGAACATTCATGTACAAGTTTTTATGTGAACATATGTTTCAATTCTTTAGGTATATACCTAGAAATGGAATTGCTGGGTCATATGTAATTCTGTGTTTAACTTTTTGAGGAACTGCCAAATTGTTTTCCAAAGTGGCTGTGCCATTTTACAATTCAAGTTACTTTTTGAGTTTCTCCTTTGTGCTTTAATTATGCTTTTCTAAATTTTATGGCTTTTATTCATGTTGATTTTAGAGTTGCAAACTGAATCCCTTCTGAAAGAAATGCTATTTGTAATATCAAATTTATCTAAATTAGTCAAAAATATTTATCACTACTTTGTTTTAACCCTATTTTTAATATAGTGTATCTGGTCTAAAAATGCAATGTCATAGATAAAATTATTAATTTTTTTAACAGAGTGGGAGGCTAAGCAAAGAGCTGGATTTAGTAAGTCACCATGTGAGAACAAGACTTGATGAACTGAAAAGGCAAGAACTAGCAAGGTTAAGAATGCTAATTAAAGCTAAACTGGATTCCCATCAAAGTAAGTACTAAAGAAAAGGTAGGAAAATTTCAGTATTTACTTGTTGAGATCAGTTTACATTAGCATATGCCATGTACTTCTAGTCAAAATCTAGTGTTACTACAGTCTTGTGTCCCTTAGTGATGGGGATACATTCTCAGAAATGCATCGTTAGGCAATTTCATCATTGTGCAAACATCATAGAGTGTACTTACACAAACCTAGATGGTATAGCCTACTACACACCTAGTTTATATGGTACTAATCTTATACGACCACCATCATATATGCGGACCATCATTGACCAAAACATTATGTGGCACATGACTATATTGATTTAGCTTCTCTTAATTTTTAAAATTTAATTTTTTGAATAGGTAATACATTCACAGCATTCAAAAATCAAAATGGGGGTTGGCCCAGTGGGGTAGTGGTTAAGTTCATGCCTTCCGCTCCGGCGGCCTGGGGTTTGTAGGTTTGGATCCCAGGCATGGACTATACACCACTCATCAAGCTGGCTGTGACAGTATCCCACATACAAAATAGAGGAAGATTAGCACAGATGTTACCTCAGTGACAATCTTCCTCAAGCAAAAAAAGGGAGATTGGCACCAGATGTTAGTTAGCTCAGGGCCAATCTTCCTCACCAAAAAAAAAAAAA